ATTTTGTGTAATTATTTATATAAAAAAATTGATTGATTTGATATTTATATGCATACAATTTTATTATATTTTGTCATTCATTTTTTAAAAGACAAATATAATGAAATTATATAGTTACGAATATTTGAAGAATCCAAATTTTTTTGATGCATAATTTACATATAAAAATCTACAAAATGAAATGAGCATTCAGATCATCGGAGTTGGATCTGTGGTAGATCCCAATAGCAACCCTTTTGCTCACTTTTGGATTCAAGATAACCTAAACTCTTGTGAGAAAACACTAATATCCTACTTATATATGTTTTGGTTTATACATTTTGAAACCTGGTACATTTCAGTTTTAAAATAGTGAATTTAGCAATTTCAAAAATATTTTTTAATATAAATCTTAATAATTATCTTACAAACTATAACAAATCAAATATAATTATTTAAAATTTAAATGGGTAGAGTTTCGGTATGACGAAACATAAAATAAAAAATGGGGTTGTCATGATACTTACAAAAATGTGTTGTACTATGATTAATTTGAAGAGAAAAAAAAAACATTTTATTAGATATCTAATTATTGAAAGAAAATTGCTCTAAAAATTCTTTAAATTCTAATTGTGTAATCTTAAAAAAACCTACTCTTATCATACAGAATTTTATAAAATGTGACATTCCATTTTCTCCATCCCGTTGCACGCCATGTTTCAATTACCATAAATGCTCACATTACATTAAAATTTTAAAGGATGACTTAGCCCACAAAGTTTCTAGTAAAGCAAGATTTGGGTCGGAAAAGGCAAGATATATATAACTTTAATGTTTTTTTTTTTTTTTTTTTTTTTTTGACTTGAACTCATGCCACCAAGAATGATAATAAAAAAAGTCTTATTGTTGGACTACACTGTCGGTGGACAACACATCAAAAAAAAATTGAAACCATATTTCCTAAAATTTTCACATGTAGGGTTTTTTTTATTTATTTTTATTTTTTAACCATGTACAACTTTTCCTTTGATCTCCTTCTCAAGTATTGCTTTCAATGCTTTTCTTGTAGTCCTCAGTTCTGGTTTCATCAGTATGACAGTTGGGAGTGAGTACTTAAAGTTGAAAGTAGTGTTGTGGGATAGAGACCCCCAAATTTGAAACTTGTCCGTAGAGTTTCTTCTCATTTGTGGTCGAAACTGAGTTGTCTAAGTAGGACTAGGTCACAGCTTTTCACTTTTAAATAATGGGTTATGAACTCAAATTTGAAGTATTGAATTAATGGTTAATTGCTTTATCTTCCACTCTTTCTTGAAACTATTATCGAGGCTTTGATTGGATAATTATCAAATATACGTGGATTTAGAGACTAAATATATTTGGGTAATTAGTTAGGGCAAAGTCTTGAACATAGTATTAATCAGAAAAAGATAAAAACTGAAAACTGGTCTAGCAAAATAATAATCAAAATGCTGAGCACAAATATTATGATAAAACAAACAGAAAATAAATTATTGAAATAAACATAATCTAATGTGCAAATTAAAAATTAGAGCAATTGTTTGTGAGGAGAGTTGTATTGTTACTATTCTAAAATTATTTTTCCTTCTCTCATAAATGTGTTAATAGAGTAAAGCAATTTCAAGATAAAATTCAATTTTCTCATAACATTCAAAACAATATATAATAGAATAACAAAATAATAGTGAAAAGGGGAATAGTTGGACAAAAATGAAATACTATTGTGATATTTTCTAGTGGATTAAAACCTAGATGAATGGATTGTATGTAGTGTAATATGTAAAAGCATTATTAATATCTCCTTTTTAATTAATTAACTGGTAACAATTATATGCTTCGTACACAAGACATGTTTCATACTTGACTTATGAGCTCGAGTAGTACTCACGCCTCACCAATTTATCCCAAGGGCATAGTATTATTTTGTTCTTGACATTACGTAATAGATGTCGAGTGTCACTTTTTTTCCGTTTGAGAATCTTCATCTGTTTTACGTACACATGGAAAAATTCTTATAATTTTTATTTTTATTAACATATTCTAATTAATTACGACACAATATATTTCACAATTACCTTAATAATGATTAATTATGATGAAAACTCAATCATAATTAATTATAACTAAATTTAAATATGACTAATAGTATTGAACATCCATTTGCGCCACATTGACAATATATTTGACAATAGTAGTTGTTTTTGTGATTTGTGAGTACACAAAATTTTCAGAGAAAAAAAAGGGAGAAATTTCAAAAAAGCAAAAAGTTAAAAACATAATTACAAATTCCAAGTAATTTATATGAATAAAATTGTTTGAGGGCTCGAAATCGTTTGGCTCGTAATTGGCTCGAAACCTAAAACGACGTCGTTTTGGGTTCTCTTACCGGTAACGTGTAATAAAATTCTCTTACCGGTAAGATATATTAAAATTCTTTTACCTGTAAGATAATTCAAAACGATGTCATTTTGAATTCGGAGCATATTTGAGCTTGGAGATTTCAGGCCCCATAGCAGCTCTGTTTACATGAATTTATAAGTATTTTTTTACCTTGCATTCTTATGTCATTTTCCAAAAAAAAAAAGTGGTGTCCTTTTTTCTTTGTGTTTAGGTGAAAGAAGACAGAAGGTGAGTACACAAAATTTTCAGAGAAAAAAAAGGGAGAAATTTCAAAAAAGCAAAAAGTTAAAAACATAATTACAAATTCCAAGTAATTTATATGAATAAAATTGTTTGAGGGCTCGAAATCGTTTGGCTCGTAATTGGCTCGAAACCTAAAACGACGTCGTTTTGGGTTCTCTTACCGGTAACGTGTAATAAAATTCTCTTACCGGTAAGATATATTAAAATTCTTTTACCGGTAAGATAATCCAAAACGACGTCATTTTAGATTCGGAACATATTCGAGCTTGGAAATTTCAGGCCTATAGCAGCTCTATTTACATGAATTTATAAGTATTTTTTACCTTGCATTCTTATGTCATTTTCCAAAAAAAAAAAGTGGTGTCCTTTTTTGTTTGTGTTTAGGTGAAAGAAGACAGAAGGAGAGGGGTAGATCTTTTGTTTTTGTAAGCAACATAAAGCATGGATACACATCCATTTTCCAAAGCACAAACTACTATTATTTTACTTTTTTATTTTGTGTTTTTCAAAAACAAAAAAACAAATATGAGTAATGCAGTTAAAAACATTTTTTTAAAACGGAAAAATATTAAGGGTACCGGAACACATTTTATATGGTGTTGAGCAGAGGAGGGAGGGACGGACAACCCATACATTTTTTAACTTATCAAAATATCATTCAATAAATAAGAAATATAGTATACTTGAAGAACATTAAGTCATATTCATAAATATTAAAATAAAATAATATAACTTTTTCTAAAAACAATGAAATTTTGTTAGAGAAAAAAATTGTAACTTCTTATAGGAGCCATTATAATTTTTAAATTGACCAATTATAAAATTTTATAGACTTAAAAGAGCACTTTGAGTAATATTCAAATAATTGTATGTAAGATTATAACAAGTGAATAACATGCCTAAATTAAGACAGTCCATCTCCAATAACTTTTATTGGGTTAATTTGCCTAAAATAAGCAATATTTTAATAATTATTCATTGCTCAAATTTTGGATCCGCTTCGTAGTGTTGCCCTCATAAATGAGATTAGTTGAATTGAATTTCTTGTCTCCCACTAATGCTACCGGCACAAGAATTGCAACAAAATTACATCAATTTAGGCCAAGTTTGGGAAGGTTGTACTTTTTGACTTTTCTTGTATTATGTATAAAAAAAGTAAAGAAGAGATGTTGATTGATGTTACCCAAAAAAAAATAAAAAGATGAAATAAGTACACTTTTTTAATTTAGCCAAACTTAACCTTAGCCTCCGTTTGGGAAGTGGGTTGGCTTTTTGACTTTTTGGCTTTTTTGGCTATTTTAGCCTGGGCTAAAAAACTTGGTTTGGGAAGGACTTTTTGGCTTTTTGGCTTTTTTGACTTTTTTTGTGAGAGAAGAATGTAATGATTATAGGTTGGATGTGATGTTTTGTTTGTTATGGCTAAAATAGCCTATTTTATTTTTTGTGGCTAAAATAGCCAAAAAAACCTGAAAATCAACTTGCCAAACAGAGGCTTAGTATTAAATTCTCAATCATTTTGCCACGCATTGATATATAGAATAAAGTGATGTTTATTAAAATAATATTTAATTATAATTATATCACCACCTATTAGTCGGCTATAAAATTTTGTAAAATAGTAAAATATTTTTCAAAAATTCTTCATTGTTTTGTTATATTTGATTATGGGTATGGACCTGCATTAGACCTTTCCAATCCAAACTTAAATTTTTCATCAAATTTAATTTGATGAAAATTTAATGAAAATAATGTTTTAACTGTTTTATCAAATTAGTATCAAATGAACCAAGTCTTACTTTTTTCATTAAATCAAAAGAGCGTTTAACCTTTCATTAAATATCGTAAGTGACCATTAGTAGATAACCGGATGAATGACCGGCTAGTCAATCGAGTGGGCGACCGCTCAGGCACCCAGATTAAAAAAAAATTGAAGAAAACTTATACTAGGCCAGACGACCACCTGAACATCCTCCCGGTTATCTTCCAGATTATTCCATGAAAATTGGAAATTTAATGTTGAAACGTTTCATATTATATGAAACTTTTAATCCAAATATTTACTCAAAATTGATTGAAAAAAAAAAAAAAAGTGTTAGAGATACTCTTATATGTAGACACCCAAAAATTAAAAATTTAAAATATATATATATATATATATATAAGGAGATTGAAGGTTCGGTGATACTTTTAAAAAATGATTACAATTTCATGTTAAAAATTATAATTTTAATAATTAACAGGGTAAAATCTATTTTACCTTATTGTAGTATTGTCTTGGAGTATTTAACCTCCCTTACATTTGAAAATAGCTAAAACCTCTCTTACATTTTAGACTAAACAGTAATACTAACGTGAAAAAAGGTGATATATATAGAGAGAGTTCAATTCTTGAATTGATTATTTCAATCTGATATCAGCAAGATCAAACCAGATTTGCTTGAACACCTTGATAATCACCTCATGATACTCATCAGAATTCAATTGAAGATAACACGCAAGAAGATCTTCCAAGTCCTTGGACCCCCTGATATTGTTTTCCTTAATCATCTCCACCATTGATTCCCTAAAATCTCTCTGTGGATCCGCCGACTTTTTCACCACCGCGAAGCTCTCCGACAAGCTCTTCCGACCACCGCCCTGAATCTTCCTGCTCGCAATTCTTGGAGTATTCGTTCGGAGTCTCAGTCCCGGCGAGCTCGCACTGACTCTCCGACTCTGTTTCATGGCGATTGATGTTTTGGTTTTGATTGGTGTTTTGGTTTCTGGGTTTTTTGTTTTGATTGGAGGGAGTTGGAGATTTGGAATCGAATCGAATTGATTGAATTTTGTGTTCAATGAATCGATATCGTTTCCGAATTTGCATCGGCAAGAGCTCGACAATGAGACCATGGCGTCGAATGAATCAGCGACCAATTCGGGTAACAAAGAATCCGGGTCGGAAGAGCTATCGCTATCGGGTGGTGAATTCGGGTATTCCTCAGATGTCGAATCGGGTTTGGTGCCGGACTCGACTGTGGCGCGACAGCTGCAACTGGCGGAGACAGAGCCGGTGACGAGGTTGAGCTTGGGTGAGGATGCTCTGTTTCTGTTTCTAGTTCTGGTTCGACTCTGTTTGGATGATTTTCTGGGAAAGTCTGAGAAATGAGTGTTGTTGGGATGGTGAGGAGTGAGGTCTCTGGTGAAGTAATGAGACTTTCTTTGAAGAGAAATCAGGTGAGATTGGCTTGATTTTGGGTGAGGATGCTCTGTTTCTGTTTCTAGTTCTGGTTCGACTCTGTTTGGATGATTTTCTGGGAAAGTCTGAGAAATGAGTGTTGTTGGGATGGTGAGGAGTGAGGTCTCTGGTGAAGTAATGAGACTTTCTTTGAAGAGAAAGGAGGTGAGATTGGCTTGATTTGGATTGGTGTAATGATGGAATTACAGGAGTTGTTGATAATGGTGATGAAGATGAAGAGGAGGAGGATATGGATGGTGGTTTTTTGTTTTTGGAGAGATGGAGGTTTTTTGAGTTTCTGGTTCTGCTGCTACCAATGTCTTTGAACTTGTAAAACCAGCCATTTGGTATCATGTGTGATAATCTGAACTTGTGATTCCCCATCTCAAACACCCCCTGCCTCTCTCTCTCTCTCTCTCTCTCTCTCTCTGTTTTGTACGAGGGACACAGAACACTCTGCTTGGTTTTTGCTTTAAGGCTTGAGGAGTAGTGATTGTGGAAGATAAATATACAGGGCTCCTGTACTTGTAATTTGAGAGCAAGTGATTTGGGTGCGTTTGTTTTCGTGGCTCAGGGCGTGGGATTGTAATATTAGTCTCAGTCTCATCAATCTAATAGTTTATTATTTGTTTTAAAATTTTTATTCCGGATTATGTTTCATATTTGGGAACTATCTTATGCCATGGGGTTGGGATAGAAATTATGGGATAACTCATCTCATGGGATTAGATAATGAAATTATATTTTTGCCTTCTAGTATTTAATTATGTATTATATATAGTAAAATTCAAAAAAAAATTAAATGTCTCAATTTAAAAATAAAATAATTTTATTTAATTTTTTTTTTGTTTTATTTATTTAATTTTTTAAAAAATAACATATATTTTTATTTATATTTAATTTATTTAATTTTTTAAAAATAAATTTATTTAATTGTGCAAAAAATAAAATAAAATAAATTTTTATTTAATCTAACTAAAAATAATTAAAATAGTAAAGCTATATTTAATATTGCTATTACTTAGTAAATAATTGAAAAGAATAAAATAGTCATTTGAACATTTATCTTTTTCCATAATATCATAAACAAACATTGGTTTCACTAAAAATAGTCCAATCTAGACATCTAATCCCATGACTAAACAAACATAAGATACAAATCCAATCCAACCAAATAGTTCGGGGACAATATATCACAGGACTAATAGTCCGATGGATTACAATCACCCCTTATCCAAACAAACACACCGTTTATGGATTCATTTGGAAAGGATTTTTTAGTTTTTTTTTTTTTTTTTTTTTTTTTTTTTTTTTTTGTTAATTTAGTCTGGTTAGTTTTGTTTAGAAAATTTTTTTGACCTTTTAAAACTTTTTTTTTGAGAGAAAAAGTAAAATGAATATGATTTTAACGTGACATTTTATCTTATTAATTTATTTAATTTCTTTTGTCTTGTTTTTACTTTTTTAATCATAACTCAAACCCAATTCACTTGCCAAACAGTAACTATATATACATATATTTTTAAAATATTCGATACACTTTCAACTCCTCAATGTGTTTGCCTATTGTTAATCACCACTTATATTAAATTCTAATTTTAGCAAAAAAATGTAGCATATATATTATTTTCCTTGAGAAAATATAGAAGTGCAAGTGAAGTTTATAGTCCAAAGTATGCCACAATTTTCACTTTTATTATTAAACAATACCAATTGCATCTCTATATTTAAAAAATTATTTTTACTTTTTTTTTCCATATTTTTTATGTCGTAATTCAACTGTTTAAATTTGAAATAAAAATAAAATGACATCATTTTTAGTGTATAATTTAAAATAAAAAAGGTAAATCATGTTGATCTCCTTGAGATTTGGAGAAAATAAAATAAATTACATTGAATTTCCTTAAGATTTTAATTTACCAACACTTAGTCCTATTTTTATCAAAATTTAATAATTATATAGATTGAAAAATATTATTATTTTAACATGACATCATATATATTTTATCTTGTTTATCTTTCTATTTTTACACCATCTGCATTAATTCTTATCAATTTTAATTTTATCATAAAGGAAATTGGTGTAATTATGTCAAAATTGTAACTCTTACTGTATTTTCTCCAAATATTAGGAATGGTCAATATAATTTACACAAAAAATAATATTTTGTTTTAATTTTATGAAATATTCTTTATTGGCGTAACTTGATAAAAAAAAATAACAAAAATAACAAAATAAAAAAACTATAACAAGATTGTTATTCATCCGGTTTGATTTTGAGTTTTCAAAAATAGTTTTTTGAATTTTCAATTCATATTTTTGTATTTGTAATCATTTGTACAAATTTTTTTAAAAAATTCATTGAATATAGCAAAACACAAAAATTTATTGAATTTTTTATTATTTTTATATTCTTTTGTATTTGGTGAATTGTTTTTAAAAAAATATTTACAAATATTATATTTTTAAGTGTATTTAAATTAAATTTATCTAAAAAATATCTAAAAAAAATCACTAAAAACAAAATATATATATGAAAAACAAACAAAAAAAATCTGAAATAAAAAATGGTGATTATTATTATTATTTAGGATAAATTATGCAAATAGTCCATGTAGTTTACACGATGTGTCAATTTGGTCCTTGTAGTTTCAATTTGCTCGATTTTGCTCCTTAATTTAACGGATTGTGTCATTATAATCCAATAAATAACGGTTGTTAAGTTAATTTAACGGAATGTCAAATAATGTGTCAATTTGGTCCCTGTACTTTACACGATGTGTCAATTTGGTCCCTGTAATTTCAATTTTCTCTATTTTAATAGGGACTAAATTGACACATTGTGAAAAATACAGAAACACACACTGTTTGACTTTCCATTAAATTAATTTAACAACTGTTATTTATTAGACTAAAATAACACAATTCGTTAAATTATGAGACAAAATCGAGAAAATTAAAATTACAATGACTAAATTAAAACATCATATAAATTACATGGACTACTTACATAATTTTCCCTATTATTTAAATGCAAAGAGTCCAAGTCCTAATTTGCAATTCCCTCTAAATAGAACGGGTCCACAGAGGAAGAAATTTAGCACAAAAGGAAATGGAAACCGGGCCCGCGGGGGTGGCTTTTCCAGGTTATGGTACCTAATCACCCCGTAATTAAGGGTTCAAACAAAAAAAAGTTGTTTCCATGTAATCATCATATCTGTGTTTAGTTCCAAAAAAACACTTCTAAAACAATAGGGTGGTTTGGTTTTTGGATTGGGTTAAAAAATCACCAAAGAACAAAAAAAAAAATTATAAAATTATAAAAAGACAAAAATCATAAAAAGATCAAAAAAATTTGTCATTCTAAAAGTCAAAAAGTCAAAAAAGTCAAACAAGAATTCCAAACGACTAAAAAAATCACAGGCTAAAAAAGTTTAAAAAATCAAAAAGTCAACTAAAAAAAATCATTGTCAAACGAGCACTCAGTGTATTTGATTTTAATTTTTTAAATTAAATTTTTTATTTTTTGTATTTTTATGTTTAATGAATATTTTTAAATTTTTAAGTAATTTTTTAATTTTGTAAATGCACCTTACTTAGAAGTATCTAAATAATAAAATATTTGTAAAAAAATATTTTTAAAAAAATTAACAAATACACAAAAATACAAAAAAAAATGTACTAAATTTTTAGAATTTTTTTATATTTTTTATATTTAGTGAACTTTATAAAGATTTTTTTCACAAATATTATATTTTTTAAGTGTGTTTATATTAGATGTATGTAAAAATTAAAAAATTACTTAAAATATTAAAAAAATTAAATAAAAATAAAAATAATATGAAAAATGAAAAAATAAAATTTTTGAAAAGTACATTTTAAAAACTAAAATCAAACAAATTTGTACTTTTATTTTGATTACTGTGCATTTTATTTTATTTGATACCCACTTTTATCTCCAAAGATTCTCTTAACTCTTGCTTTGCTACGCCACAACTGTTTCTGTCCCTAATGATTCTCCTACTCGGCCACTGTTTGGTCACGAGACACACCACATCAGTAGATAAATCAATCGATAACTTTAAAGTTATAAGCATCTGTATCAAAGGTTTTCGACTAAAAACACAACTCCAACTACTAGTAATATGTGGAAAAAGTATAATACGATGCTGTTTTTTTTAAATTGTTCCTATCTTTTTTTCTTCTTTTTTATACCATCGTGTATTATCAGTGTTATTTTTGATATAAAAAATTAATTAATTTTCTAACCGCTATTTCGGCATTTGTTTGCCTTCATGGGACTCTACTTGCTAGCCACTGTTAGTCACCATTTTTCAAAATGGCTAGCCCTTTTGCCAATCTCATCTTATCCGCCATATCCTTGTGTTGGGGTTTTTGTGGAAAATGCATGAGACTCCCAGTGGGGGTACTGGGGTCTCTCCTGATTGGTCCAAAAATAATTTTTTTTTTTTTTTTTTTTTTTAATATATATATATATATATATATTTTTTGATTTTCATCCATTGCCAGCCCCCCACGTGGAGGTGGGGGTGCTGGGGGTCCTTCCCTGCTGGGGTCTCCAGCAGGGCCGGGGTTTTTGTTTTTCTTATCCGGATGAATGTTTGTTTGGGATGATCTAAGTGCACTTTTTGACTTTTTATGAAACATGAGTTGAATTTGGATTGGGTTTGAAATTATGAGTTAAAGAGGTGATGTGACTTAAATAAGATGATGTGACTTAAATAAGATAGTGACTTTTTTACTTTTTTTACTTTTTTCAAATATGCCAAACCAGGATGTAGTTGGCATGTCCTTCTTATATTATGTTGAATTTCACATTTTATGATTTTGTCTTTATTGTTTTTTTTTTCCCTAATCACAAAAGTTAAATTTGAACAATTTATTACCTAACTAGGTTATATACATTGTAAAAAAAATTAAATTATTTAAACTCAACCTATGATTTACTTAAAAAATAAATAAAACGAATTTAAATACATTTTAAAATTCGTTATTGAACTAATTATTAGTCAGGAGGGACTTGGGTCAGCCCCACGCAACCATTTTTTTTTTGGGGGGGGTTGTTTTTCCAGGTGGGTTGCATGTCAGAGGGACCACCTTTATCCTGGACCTTTATTCTGAGGACAACCCCAAAGGAGAGCTCTGCATGTCCTTTGCCTTTTTTTCTATTACGGGCTCACCTTGGATGCCCTCAGTGCACCCAGATTTCAGCTTCTAAGAGCATTTAACTCTTCATTAAATTTTGAGGAAATTATAAGGAGCTGCTCTCTTTGGTCCAAATCGGATTAGAGGGTACTGTTGGACTCTGTGAGTTTATTATAAAATTTGTATCGATAATTTAAACCGTTCAATATATACGACTCGTCGAGTATTTTATTCTTGTAAAAAATAATGGTGATCGGATATCGATATCTACTTGATCAGATCACATGTGTGTTAATAGTTAATATGATTTTTAAAATAAATTGTTGACACAAATGTGATCTGATCAAGTATCTATTAATATTCTATCAGCGTAATTTTTTATAGAGATGAAATACTCGACAAGTTCTATATAATAAAAAGT